CACACACACACACACACACACACACACACACACACACACACACAAAAGAACATAGTCTAGATACTACTGTATTATTTTATTGATTAGTAATTGCTGACCTAATAATCTACTGTATTTCTTTTACAGGTCTGATGCATGAAAGAATCATTAAAGTTGTTCAAGTAATAAGGTATATGGCTGTATGGAATAGAGGTTTTGATGTCTTTGTCCCTTTCTTTGTAGTCGCAAGGGTGAATTTTGAGACAGTCCTAATTACATATATGAGCATATCTGGGAATTGTACCTCTGCCCTGTAGCTGAGTTGGGCTCTTAGAGAATTTCTGTAGAACTCAGTTCCACATTTAGATTTTCTATTAATAAGGCTAGTTTGAAACTTGACACAGAATTAACATTAAAGATTGTCTTTATTGTTGGTTCATATACTCTACAAAGATGACCAAGGCTGATTCATTAAGATCAGAGCCAGGAGGGGTGGTTCACACCTGTAATCCCAGTAGCTCAGGAGGCTGAGGCAGGAGAATCACAAGTTCAAAGCCAGCCTCAGCAACTTAGTGAGGCCCTGTCTCTAAATAAAATATTTTAAAAGGGCTGGAGTTGTGACTCAGTGGTTAAGCACTCCTGGGTTCAACCCATGATACCAAAAAAGAAAAAAAGATCAGTTAGAATAATTCTAAATTAACTAGCTATTTTACAACTATCTTAAGAAATTGTTGAATGCTTTAATTTATAAGTCATTATAAAATTATTCTTACTATTCCAGATAATCATGTACACTCAATTAGTAGAGGCATAAATATGGCAGGACTAGAGTTAAATTCTAAGATTTACCTCTTACCTGAGCAAAATATCTGTATATCATACCAAATTTGAAACTGTCCTCATTGTTGGTTTACTAAAGAAAACTTTTTACTTTCAAAAACTTGGCTTTGTGTGTTTTGTATGCTTCCATCTTTTTCACAGTGGATCATTTTGGTGATTAGATCTGACCCTCTTGACAGAAAACAGATCAATTGATTCCAAGAACAGGAAGGTGTTGATTGTAAAGGGTTAGGAGGGTATTTTCGAAGTGATGTTTACATCTTGTTCAACATTGATCATGGTGGTGATTGCATGATTATGTGTTTGTCAAATATCACACTTAACAGGATGAATTTTACTGAATATAAATTCATACTAAAATAAGCATGACTTTTAAAACATCCTTTCTGTTTTCTTAATAACATTTCCAAAGCAATCTATGGGAGAGTGGTTTGGGATCACCATTTAACATGATTTTATTGAGACATTAAGAGCAACAGAAATGCATGAAGATCATTCTTAGGGTATAAGTGACTCATGCACATGATAAATATCAGAGAAAAGTAAGATATTGACACACCCATCCAAGATATGAACTTTACTTTTATGGATGATTGAGGCAGCAGCATATACTACTCTACCTGCTCAACAGCTGCACTTTGAATCTCAACTATGCCATGGCACTTCCACCAATTTGAAAATCCATATAGGCACAACAAGGTAGCAGAAAATGGAGTGTGAAGATTCTTACCATGTGCCCCAGTGCTGTTAATTCTACTTTGGGTTCCTTGAATCCTGATTCCTCCTATATTGACCGGGTTTTTACTCCAAGGAAGTTTTCTGGAATGTGAAGGTTTGTGAACTGCCTGGTGTGCTCCTCTGAAAGGCTGGCTGAAGCCAGGTGTAGCACAAGCCTGTAATCCCAGAGACCTAGGAGTGGAGGGTTGGGGAGTTGGGGCTGAAGGAGGATCACAGGTTCAAAGCTAGCCTGGGTAATTTAGTGAGACTGTTTCGAAACATAAAGGGCTGGGGAGTGTAACTCAGGGGTAGAGTGCCCCAGGGTTCATTCCCAGTACTACCAAAAAGAAAAAAAAAATGCATTTTGGAAAAAAAATCAGTCTTCTTTTTCCCTAAAAAGAAAAATGGGTTCTAGAAAGAAAGATGGGTTCAAACATTAGTTAAGTTTTTGTTCTTCCCTATAGGTCAAACTTCTAAACCCTGAGCCTGTTGAGCCCTTCCCTGGTGACCAAGGGTATATACAGAGCTCAGTTTTGTCATCTTGTATGTCTTCCAGAACCCATTGGGGTTCCAGGTTTGATGCATTCTTTGCTGTATCCCCACCTCCACCAAATCCATGTCCTTATATATAACCTGAACATGGTTAAAGAGTTAGAATTGCAACCAGTCTTAAAAAGTAGAATGGGGCTCGTTCCCCCAGTGTTATAGATTGAACACTTGAGAAATGCCAAGGCAATAGGTTTTATTTAAAGGATAGAACAGAGACTCCTGAGGGAGTGGGGTGTGTTGGCCTTTTTATAGATTTCAGATTTCCTTTCTTGTGTCTCCTCTTCCTCTTATCTTGCCTATTTGACCAGAAGGGCAGGAAGAGAGCCATCTAGGGGTTGACTTCTTGGGTTGGAAAATGTGATCTTTCCCCTCCCCTGGAGGTTGTTAGCAACCAGGTGATGGGGAGTGCTACCTACCCATTTCCTTCTCTTTGATTATCAGCTGCCTGTCCTTTGCTTTCATCTCACCAACAGTGAGATGGGCTGAGGAGCTGCAGTCATGCATCAGTTCTGTAGCATCAACTTTCCCTCCTTGGCACAGCATGTGCCCTGTATATTAAAATAGCTAAAGCAGCAATATACAAATGCCAATATGACTATTAAACCACCAGACTGTCCTTTGTGCTCCAGGGCCCTAACAGAAGAAGCAAGTCTGAAGTTGAATGAAATGTTTTCACAAGATTTATTCATTCCAATTGAGAGACTTGGGCTTGAAGATTATTTTTAATTATGATAAAACTGGAATTGGAATACAATTTTTATGCTTAAGGTTATGATTTCACTGAAAATATAAAATCTTTCAGAACTCCAGTCACTAACTTCTCCAGATAGTGACATAACTCACCCAGTATGCCAGTTAACACCATTGATGTGTCATTCAGGTAGGTTGAGATACATTACTTTGATTTCAAGAAAAGACATACCCCATGTTCCTAAGCACTTGAGTCCAAGTAGATTCTGTTTCTTAAAGGTAAGCAAGTCTTATAGTTCAAGTGAATATTCCAGACTAAAATACGTGTATTTTTGATGGTCTTCAGACCTTAAATAATTATATTCTTGGTAAATATATTAAGTCCTGTGGTAGTAATGACTCCCTCCTTTATGGAGTTTGTGCAGTGATATCCATTGCACAATGTGACATGGAGCTGGTTGGCATGTGCTTCCATTGACTTCTGTTACAAGAGGTAATTTCACCTTGTAGCTGGGTCAATACAATATCTGAAAGAGTCAATTGTTAGTACAAATAGTGAAGAAACTATTATATCTTATTATACCCCCCAACACCACATTTCCCCAAATGATTCGGGGTCATTTAAAAGCATCTTAAATAATACAATAATCCATAAGAGAGAATAAAAGCCCAGTAAGAAGAGAGCAGGAGTACAAAAGTAAGCCATTGGCCTTTATGTTTTCAGTTTGGCTCTTGAGCGTCCTAAGGGCAGAGAAACGTGACAAATTAGCCGTTGAATTCATCACTTCAAAATGGAGGAGGGGAGTGGTCCTTCACATTTGAGGAATCCTGAACCCAAATGAGAACAGGCTCTTTTTCCCTGCTGATCTCAAGTACTTTGAAGAAAGTAGAACAGAAAAGGCATCTGGATAAAAGGAGGATCTAGAAAGAGTGGAGACTGATGCATTTGGCTCTAGAGCAGGAAAGTGAGTTGTTAGCTGCCCACTCTGAAGTCTGGGCCTGCTCAGCTGATTGGCCAGCCAAAGTCAGAGGTAAAATGAGAAGCTACTTCCAGGTTGTATGCATGGATAAATAGCCAGAAGTATGTTCGAAAGTCTTATATTTATTTTGTACTCATAAAGATTGCCTTTCCAAAATTTACTTTGTATTTATGAACTTAAAATTTCTGCTTTCAATATTTTATTATAAAATTGTAATTTATCACAATCTGGAATTAGGCAACTGTGGCTAGAAAGCCCTCTAGTGGAGTTTATCTATACTGCAAGGGGCCAATTATCTTGAACCCTCCTCTATTGCCACATGAACCTCCATACCAGTCAGTTTCAGAGATAAACTGTCAAATCAGTTTTGATGCATGTCACCTTGATTTGTTTTGGGGAGTAGCAGGATATTATAGCTGATGGAATGAAACCTAATACCATTAACATTGGACAAGTTTCCTGACCTGTTACCATATTCTCTCAGGTAAGTATAACCCATGTGTCACAGGCCTCTCCTAGTGAAGAAATATGTGGGACTTAGGGAATCATTGTCTACAACTGCTCTCCAATACAGCAGCCACCAGTCATATGTGACTAGTCCAAACTGATGTGCTGTAGGTGTGAAAAGTTCAGATGTAAAGAATATATAAAAATTTGGGCTGGGGTTGTGGCTCAGTGGTAGAGCACTTGCCTAGCATTTGTGAGGCACTGGGTTTGATTCTCAGCACCACATCTAAATAAAATAAAGGTCCATCCATGACTCAAAAAAACTTTTAAAAAAGAATATATAAAATTTCCAATTTTATAATGGTTTTAAGTTCCACAATAATTGACTGGGTTGAATTAAATACACTTGAAGTGATATTAGTATGATTTGCATTATATTTCTATTGGACAGGATGGGTGTAAAACATGAATCAAAATCATCATGGAAACATGCAAATAGCAATCTACAATGTAATAGGAAGATGCTGCTATACTATACAGAACCTTGAGGAAAAGGAAGAGTAAATTAGCACTCACAGTGTGGAATTTACCAGGAAGCAGCTATTTTCCCTCCTAAGGACAGAAGTTGCAGAGGTAGGGAGCTCATGCTACTCAGAAGACTCGACATAGAGTCTGGTCTTGCGCTAGAGATTCTAAAGGAAAAAGACTTCAGAATGTATTTATTAAATGCTCCTTCTGTTCTCCACCTGCCCTGCACAAATATTTGTGTGTTCATTGGAGTAATCAAGGGCTGGAGGGTTTGGTAGGCTACATCTAGTCAAATATGACTTCCTAGTAAAGAATCCAGATGAAAAAAAGTCTGGTCTCCTGACCAATTCTTCTGCTGGTGTGTGTGTGTGTGTGTGTGTGTGTGTGTGTGTGTGTGTGTGTAGTAGTAGTAG